TTTAGTCCAGGTGGTTTGCACCTAAGTTCAATGTTGGTAGGAGCAGAACTTATGAGTGTAGAAGGATTGTGTACCACTCTGTCAGTAGTTCCAGACTGCACAAAAATAAAAGGTTGTGAGTGAGGGATTATGTAGTAAACCATTGTGTCATTGAGTTGAAATATTTACCCTCTATATAACAGTGCCACTTGAATCAAACAGCACACCATATCCTGCTGTCTTTGTTCTCTTAGACCCTGCATTTGCACCACCTCTTCTAGGCTCATTGGTCTTCCTTTTTGGACCTCTTGCAACATTAGTTGATTGTTGTGTGCTTGGATCAAGGATTGCTAGTGTTGTTGATGCACTTGCAGGTATTGTTGATGCACTTCCAGCTGCTGCAGTTCCACTTTCAGCAGTTTCACCTCTACCTGAACTAGTTCCAGCCCTTCCCTTTTGGTTTTTCTGCATACACATAACAAAACTATCACTAGTAATTGAATTCTTTCAATATTAGTAACAAAACAAACATTAATACTTACTGCTGATGGGCATCCTTTCTTGTTATGTCCTACAGTCTTGCACAAAGAACATCTCATTTGTCTCCCTATCCTTGTACCCTTCCCAAACTTCTTCTTTGGTTCATCAGCAGCCTTTGTCCTTTTTTTCTTTGGCCTTCCCGGCATTGCAGTTATAACAGGTGGCTCAATAGCTGGCAGTGTGCTTGTTGGCCACAAATTCATACTAGTTAAAGGTTGAATGAATCTGCTATATGCCTTAAGGTAGGTATCCTTTCTATACCAATGGTCAACATATTGCTCAACCTCATAGTTCTTGTAATGCATTGCTGTAATTGCATGTGCACATGGAATTCCTTTGAGTTGCCATGATCTACAAGTACAGGTATATGCCCTAAAGTCAACAACATGTTTATATGGCCCATCCTGGATCTCATACCCTGTTTCACCATTAAATTTGACTTCACATTTGGCTGCCCTTTGAGCATTCTCTCCAAGTATTTCCATAGCCATGGGTGATATCTCACCTACCCATTTTTCAGAAAACTCTCTCATGCTATTCATCCTCTCCATACACTTGATTCTAATTTCCTCTAACATAGTAATGATAGACTTGTGCCTAGCTGCCAATATCCAACTATTGAACGTCTCACACATGTTGTTCTCAACTACATCACACTTACTATGGTCTTTGAAATATGCCCTACACCATGTTTCCTTGTTGTATTTCAGTAAGTCCTGAACAATATTTCCCCCCAGCTGGTCCATTTCATCCAACTTCTTGCTAAAGTAAACCTCAAATGTAGCTCTTGCACACTGCCAGAATTTTTTCCTTCTTTCCTCACCAGGCCAAGTTTGCTTCCAATTAGCCCAGATATGTCTAGCACACCATCTCATTTCAGCATTTGGCAATAACTGAGTTATTGCTAGATGAAGACCCTACAGTCATAAAAATTATATTGTTATAACTTAAACATAAATGAAAACAATTACACTTTAAAGAAAGAGTATTATAAACCATACCTTCTGCATATCAGACATGACTGTCAACCCTTCTCCTTCAGTTTCTGTCAAGTTTAGATCATGCTTGAGAGACCTGATAAACCAAGACCATGTATCCTTTGATTCCTTTTCAACTACTGCCCAAGCCACAGGGAACATTTGATTATTTCCATCCTTGGAAATGCAGGAAAGCAGTTCACCTTTACATGTCCCCTTTAGGAATGCACCATCAAAGCCTTTTGTTTCTGCACCCTTCTAACCATCCAGTTTTCAATGCTTCAAGACAGACATAAATGCCCATAAAGACTTCCTTGCCAGAAATTGAATCCTTAGATGTCCTTATCACTACAGTAGTGCCAGGATTAGTAGACTTTAGCATTTCTGCA